GGCGCTGATCCCGTTGCAGATGAGGGAGGTCGAGGTGGCGGTTGAGTGCCACGTGGAAACGGCGGTGGTCACCGTGAGGGGGCGGTGGAGGGTTCATTGTGTGATGGGGAGCCGGAGCTGCGACTGTTGGTTTCTGGTGCCGACGGGTGAGCAGGTAAATTTTTAGTTTTTATTGTTTATAAATCCAATATTTTATGGTGATTTATTTTGGAGCCCAGTTTCTGATTCTGTTGCTATGCTGATGTCCGAAGTTGATGTATTTGGTGCACAGGCATAGTCATATTTGGGTTTGAGATGCTGAAGTTGGTAACTTGGATTCAAAGATAATTCAGTATGGATATGTTGCTTTTAAGAATGATTTCAGATGAGGATGGGTTTAAAAATAAATCTGGGTAGAACATTGGATTTAGAAACAAAAAACCTTTTTACTGAATTTTAAGGTCGTTAACTCGTCAGTTGGAAAGGACTAAGCCTGGTAATTTTGCTCTGGACGCAGGTTCTGAAATAATGTAGGGGTTGTTGGTGAAATGAAAGTTTTCATGGTGTTTTTTCAAAGTAGGGAGAGAGTGGCGGAGAGTAGACACATAACTTTGAGTTCTCTTCTTATTTTAGTTCAGAGGTTATGTAGAGATTTTGTAAATAAGGGATGATTTTTTTTGGAAAAGAATAAGGGATGATTAAGGACCAAGGAGGTAAGACTTTCTTAAATCTAGCTTGGATGACTGCTGTAGTCCCACAATATTTCTCAATATTTCTGCACTTGCATTTGATTGTTTGATTGATGATATTGTGAGCTTCCTTGTTGTTCTCAAGCTATGTATTGTTTGGCTAACAGGGTTCCATTCTAGGTCTCGAGGTTGATGTCGACGGAACATCATATTCTACACAGGTGATTCAAAGAGAAGAAGGCCAAATGCTGGACATTAATGAATCTGGGGGCCTCTTAAAACCCCAATTATTTTCTGTAACCATACCACAGCCAAATGCTGGACATTAATGAATCTGGGGGCCTCTTAAAACCCCAATTATTTTCTGTAACCATACCACAGGTCCTGAGTTACCTACTTACAATCTGGGGGCCTCTTAAAACCCCAATTATTTTCTGTAACCATACCACAGGTCCTGAGTTACCTACTTACCTATCTTTCTTTGTTGATTACCTTGTTCGAATTTTTGACCAAAGAATTTTCTCTTGTTCTTCTTTTAGGTTGATGGAGGATCTTCTCTCTCTCTTAAAGTCAGCTGGTTGCAGAAGTTAGTGTATAAAGATGGCAACTTCACAATTAACGTACCTTTTCATTTTCCAGACTATGTCAATCCATCTGCAAAGATATTTTCGAAAAGGGAAAAGGTGCAGTTAAATGTGAATACTAGTATCGGAAAGGAGGTTGTAATCCAGAGAACCAGTCATGCTTTAAAGGTGAATATATTTCTACTTTGCGAGTATACATGTATCCTGGGGTTGAGTTCACAACTCTACATTAACAGTTTTGTTTTCTTTTTCTTTTTCTTTTTCTTTTTCTTTTTCTTTTCTTTTTATCTTTACAGGAAGAGCATCGAAATGTGGGGACAATGTCCTTCTTATATGATGCAGTGGTTGACCATTGGTCAACAAAAGATTTCCACTTTTCATACAGTGTATGTGAACAACCCTGTTGATGCTTTTATCTATTGGTCGATCCTAGTATCATCATGACAGGACATTAATTTGATGAGTTTCTTGTATCATGTGTTATTCAAATTGTAACATCCCATTATAGGGCGTGAAAAGAAACCTAATCTCAGTTGTTAGTTGGTGCCATGCCATTAGACAAATAAGAGGAAAATGCTGATTTCTGGAAGATCATCTCTGATTTCTAGTCCTCATGCATTTTAAAACAAGAAAAAAACTCAACTTATTGTAGTTAAATTTTCTCTCGTATTTACATATGTTACATGCTTTCTAAGTGATTTGTTTGGAGGCATCATCAACCCTTTTTCAAATTGTAGCTAAATATCTCATTACATACACGTTTCTCAGGTTTACTCAAGTGATATGTTTGGAAGCATACTCTTGCAGTCACCATCAGTGCATGATTACGATCAAAGGAAGGGGTTTTATCTGTATCTTTTTCCCGGAAATAACCCGAGCAGAATGGTATGTTGAAAATGCATCTCTTTCTTAAAGCTTGTATTTCATTATCTTAAATAGAAACTAGGCATCAAATTTATTAACTTACTTCAACAAATACTTCAGTGAGTATCTATTTTCCCAAAGTTCGTTTATCGTTATAGCTGTTGTAACCAATCTTGGACAAAATAATGTATGCATATATTTGGATACTCTTGCATATTCTTACATTAGCTGCAATTTAGGTATGCGAAAAGTGTATTAAATTTAATGTTATTCGCTCCCCATCTCATTTAACCCATGCAATAGGTTTTCAGAAAAGAAGTGGTATTTCTTGTTGATATTAGTGGAAGCATGGAAGGAAAACCTCTTGAAAATGTTAAAAATGCACTTTCATCAGCTCTATTAGAGCTCAGCTCAAGTGATAAGTTTAACATAATAGCATTCAATGAGGAGACACACCCTTTCTCATCATCTCTGGAGCTAGCAACAGAGGAAATGATAGGAGATGCCACCCAATGGATAAGCAAAAGTTTTGTTGCGGCTGGTGGGACCAATATCTTGCGGCCTTTAAATGAGGTAAATCATATTTGCACTTCATCAGACAATTATTATGTCTCCTTTAGTTAATATTTTCATTTCTATGAATTATTAACTCTATAACCTGGTAATACTGACATACCATATATTTAACAAACTTATCCTTGCATATCCGACTTATTTGGAATTGATAGTCATTTCAATTCTGAAACTTTTAAGTGGCATATTCGCCATAGGCAATGGAACAACTTTCTGAATATCACGAGTCACTCCCACATATTTTTCTAGTCACTGATGGTTCTGTTGAAGGCGAAAGGGACATTTGCTGTGCTATGAGAGATTATGTGACAAATAAAGGACCTATGGCCCCACGAATTTGCACTTTTGGCATAGGTAATGTTAATGTTTTCAGCTCCTGCATTCTAGAATTTATAAATCCTTACAACTGTTTGTCTTTGCTATGGCTCTGGTTCCATCAAATTTTCTTAATAGCATGTTCAGTGTTATTGTATGTCGGGTCAATTGTAAGTAAAGATTTCTCAGAACTGCATTTCCCAGACTCTTAATGTTTGGGAGTTTCGTGGAAAATAGAGGATTCATCATTTATGCCTCCTTAGGGGTGTGTGTGTATATATATATATATATATAGAGAGAGAGAGAAAAATGGGTATACTTGGTACCAAGCACAAATTTTGTGCTTGGTAGTGATGCGTCTCATTCTCATCCACTCATTCAATTGGGGGGGACCACATTCAACCAATGTGAATGTGGTCCCCCCATTTGAATGAGTGGAGGATAATATGTCACATCACTAACAAGCACAAATTTTGTGCTTGGTACCAAGCATACCCATATTCCTCATATATATATATATGGGTATGCTTGGTACCAAGCATAAATTTTATGCTTGGTAGTGAGGTGTCATATTCCCATCCACTCATTCTAATTTTCAGCCACTCCCCAACCCATGTGAATGTGGGCCCAGATTTCAATGAGTGGAGGAAAATACGTCACCTCACTACCAAACATAAAAACTTGTGTTTGGTACCAAGCATACCCATTTTTCTCATATATATAAGAGAGATGAGTATGCTTGGTACCAAGCACAAATTTTATGCTTGGTACTGAGGTGTGATATTCACATCCACTCATTCTAATTTCTAACCACTTCCCAACCCATGTGAATGTGGGTCCCGATTTTAATGAGTGGAGGAAAATATGACACCTTACTACCAAGCACAAAAACTTGTGCTTGGTACCAAACATACCAATTTTTCTCATATATATGAGAGAGATGAGTATGCTTGGTACCAAGCACAAATTTTGTGTTTGGTAGTGAAATGTCATATTCCCATCCACTCATTCTAATTCCCAACCACTCCCCAACCCATGTGAATATGGGCCCCGATTTCAATGAGTGGAGGAAAATATGCCACATCACTACCAAACACAAAAACTTGTGTTTGGTACCAAGCATACCCATTTTTCTTATATATATGAGAGAGATGTGTATGTTTGGTACTAAGCACAAATTTTGTGCTTGTTAATGAGGTGTCATATTCACATCCACTCATTCTAATTCCCAACCACTCCCCAACTCATGTATATATATATTCACATCCACTCATGTTTCATGAGACCTTGCAGCTGTTGTTGTAGTGCTCATGTTGATTATAGGGCTCTTGCAGCAAACAAAAAATACTGGGATACTGGAAGCTCTGAATTTCTGCTCAATTATTTAATATTTTTCAGTGAATTAAAGTGTAAAGTTTAATGATGCTATTAGTCATTAATCAGTTATCTTAAGTATATATTGCTGTGCTCTCTTCCCACCAGAAATATCATTTTTAAAGTGTATCTTAACTTCAAATTTCTCTACTTCTCAAACAGTGAACAGTTTATGCTATACCTGTAACTGAAAAGTTGGCACTTAATAAAATTTCAGCTCAGTAAGAAATAGAAGTCTCTTCATCCGTTAGCCTTTGTTTTACATATCTTTTCAGGTTAGAAATGTGTTGAATGACAACGTGATAAATAGGATCTTATGAATATGTTGTTCTCAACTAAGCCCTGGTCTTACAACTTCCCGTGTCTAAAGGAGGTTTAAGCAATTGAAGTCCCCTAAGCATGATCAACCATATATGACTATTGTTGATTTAATTACTTTCTGAACCGAAGGGGGAATCTACCATTCCTATATACTTGTCCTTATGACTGTTATTTGGACATGGCGTGCCATCAGCACGTGCATTAATAATCTAGTAGAGACCAAGACAAATCTGAAACACTACATAACCTATCAAGCTATCCGGGAACAGCATGAAAACTGGAAAATGTGTCTCAACAAAAAATTTCTTATAGTTGCGTAAAGATCCATTACCCTTGATTTGATTGTTTAGCAAGCTTTGGAGAGAGAAAGAGAGAGTGCGTGTCTTATATTTCTTCTGCCTAAAATGACTGAAAGCATATATGTCTCCTTGGCTATATCAGCAATGCTATTACATGGAAGATTTAACTCTAAGCATTTGTAAAAATTAAATATTTTAGTTTTATTAGTATTTTTCCAGATTTGATCATTTGCTTGAACCTCCAATGGTATATAAGCAAGTTCAATTC